CCATCCCAACTCATCCTGAAGTGCCAGCCTCATCAGCCCTGTGAAGGCCTCATCGACACGACAGCCATCGGCACTGATCCTCAACAACTCGTCTCCATACCGGCGTGATTACTTCGACTTCCAAACAGATGGAAATGGATAAATACTCTAAATGTTCTGATCCAATCTGGCTTGTAATGCTGCCCGAATCATACACTGTTCCTTCGTTGGCCAGAGGAGAACTGGCCCCCGACTGAGCCTGGGTTCTCCCAAGGTTTTTTTCTCCATTCTGTCACCTGATGGAGTTTTGGTTCCTTGCCACTGTTGACTTGGCTTTTGGATTGCTTGGTTGGGGACATTTAATATTCAACAATATTATTGATCTGCCTTACTTAAGGTGGACGTTGACGCAATTTTCTTCTAGAAACAAACTTTGTTGTATTTTCATGTTATCACTGTGAAGCTGCTTTGATACAATCTGTATTGTAAAAAGCGCTATATAAATAAAGGTGACTTGACTTGACATCACTGAACTTACTTAAGCCGGACTGTGACGCTATTTTCTTCTGGAAACAAACTCTTTTGCATTATTTTCCTGTTATCTCTGTAAAGCTGCTTTGAAACAATCTGTATTGTAAAAAGCGCTATATAAATAAATGTGACTTGACTTGACAAAAACAAGGGGTGGGATTTATCGCACAAACCAATCATATCTTATCATAACCGATCATACCCAATTTTAGCACGATAGGGCTATTGACTCCTCTCACTTGACATTCCCCTATTCATTCTCAATTACCCCCCACCAAACCCAACGCATGCATTATTAGAGAGTATGTTAAAGAGGTCATATAATGGATTTTTGAAAATGACATTTCATGTAGCGTGTAACATAGCTCTAAAAAATGAAAACATCCCACAAAGTTTTAAATCTGAAAGTGCACCGTATATAAAGTTATTGTTTTTCAAAAGTAAGAGTTGACTCTGAGTCAATTAAATGAATCGGTTTTCAAACGAGTCATAAGTCGTTTCGTTGTGACGTCAAGACTCAGCAGATATTGCCCACTTCTGACCCGCCCACTTATTGCCTGCGCAGACACCAGGAAAAACTTGAACCACCCTCAAACCGGCAGCTGATTCCTGTGGATACTGGATAGCATCATATCCAGAAGATGCTGTGCTCTATGTGAATGCTCTTCACTGCCCAAAGACGAGCATGTGAAGAATCAGTGGTTAAAATTAATCTTTACCACGATACCACAGCATTATAATCCTTAACTTTTGTTGTGTTCCCTTTATTTTACTGACGACTGCTTCTCAAATCTCAGAGTTCAATGCAGGATTCACAAACCGCTTGCTCTTGAAAGATGGTGTTCAAAATACTTAGTTTTGAGTTTTATATTGTGTAGGTCTCCTGCTAACTGGTTAACTCACAGTATTACTTAAATACTGCTAATCAGTTGTAGGCCACTATTACCTAAAACTGTGTATATTAATGCAGATTGTCTGTCGTCCTCACTACTTTGAGGAAAGATTAAGCATGCAGCAAGATTTGTTTTACCACAGTTTATGTTACATCAGTCATTCACGCTAGAGCTCGGCTAATGTATGCACTGTTTTTGATACAGTTTTCACATGTTCACCGCAACAAATTAGAAAAATACTCGGTAAATAAATAAGTAACTTACCAGTAAAATAATCGGTTTGTTGATGGACATGCACTTGTTAATGCTGATGGTGAGGAATTACAGTTGCAACATCTCATAATGTACCTCAAACTGAGTAGCGGATCACTGAGAAACGTCCTGCTCGAGTCGTCCTTGCGATGTTGGTTCGGGTTGAATGACTAGTTCTTCAAATGTTTCATCATCGGACTCGCACTCGGATTGATATGGTAAAATCGACGTCATCGTTCGTTACGGTGTTTAGTTTACAGTGTAGGAAGCCTTAGGACAAGCAGAACTGACCTTGTTATGGCAATGGACGTTTTTGTTTTTGACACGCGCGCTGTACGCGGTAGACCAATCATAACAGACTGAGCTCTCTGGCCAATCAGAGCAGAGTAGACCAATCACAACAGACTCAGAGCCATGGAGAGAAAGAGTTGCGCCACTCCCATAGACCGTTATAGAAACTTTGGAATGCGGAAGTAACGCGTGTCCTGGAGCAGCCAATAGTTCCAAACACTGATAGTTCCAGCATTGAACCCATAGACAGTATAAGAAGTGGACAGAGCCATCTCATTGGAACTCAGCTGAGACAGTTGAAGCCCATTTTTAGCGATTTTTGAGCACTTCCGTTCCTGACGCGCAGACTCAAACCGACTCAAACTAAGCTTGATGACGTGAGCAACCTGTCTGACAGACGTTAATCTTCTAGTAGCTGTGCGTGAAAATTGCCAACGTTAATCTTGCAGAGACGGGGAACTTGAGCAAAGAGTCCTTTATCGTGAGTGAGCAGGAGTAAGTATTCCGTTGCTTTTATGGACTCATTATCTATGGGCTTCTCCCTTGACGGGACGTCCCCCCGGTTGCCTGCGAGCTTCTCTTCCTGTCTGTGCGGTAATTTCTGTACAGCGCGACAGAGAGTCGAGTGGTTATGACGCAATCGTTAGCCTATTTTTACAATATCTGTTTCTACGGGGCCATAATGTAACATAGAAGGTAATGGAGCTCTGTATACATTGTCGTGTTTCTTTAGAAATAAATAATGGATAGATGGAGTCTTTAAACGCCTCAGATGTAAAGTTATTCGCTGTCAAAGTGACGCCAAAATGAATGGGAGTCAATGGAAATGCTAACGCAAGTGAAGTTCTGCTACAACATGGCGGCACCCGGCCGGCTTCAACTTCCGGTCGATGGATTACCCCCTTGATTGAACCCCATTCATTTTCAGTGCTTCCGAAGTACGCTCGCTGGTAAATTAATGAAATTACTGTATTTTTTTACTTTTACACACATTAGCCGACCTCTCGTGAATCTAGTCTGTAGTTATATTTTATGTAGCCAGTTTTAGTAAATGTTTATTGAAAGATAATAGGTTAATTGCAGCGATAGCTTACGTGACCAACACTTCACTAACGTTAGCTAACTTACGGTAACCTGATGTATATAATATATAATATTTTTAATAATATTTTATATGTATGTATATATATATATATATATATATATATATATAGCCTATATATAATACATACACACACACACCCACACACACAGGGTTAGGGTTATGCATATATGTGCTTATATGTATTTAGGAACATAGTTAATTCACTCATTAACTATCTCTCCGGTTTAATTTTATGAAGAATATTATTCGGTTGAATATTTACCGAACATTGCTGTATATAGTCGTTGCTTTCTACGTTATTGGAACAGTCTATTTCCCTCCTAAATCATTCATTTGTACATGCACAGCGTAATTATTTATATTCTATGTTGGTTGGAGTTCTGAACGGACTGCAGACCTCTTTGCGTGATCACGAAGGTAGGCTAATGGCTGAATCGGAATTTATAAGCAAGATCACGGGAATCAATAGCCTAATACAGCCCAGTTGTGCTAAAATAAATATCATGAGACGTCCATCATCAGATGAATGACATGGAAAAGTAAAGTTAGAGCCGCTAAAGCCAGTGCTACTACCCATGCGAACATGAACACTAAGCTTTTCCCTCCAAAAATATAGCCTAAAACTTATCTAAGTTGTCACCCTGCCTCTCCAAATGCAAAACTGACATTAACAAAATGCAATAACCGCTTAAAAAGTACTTGGGTGTGTGTTTTATTTTATATCTACCGTTTAATAATGCAATCGCTGCTGTCTGTCCATAGAAGAACATGATAGCCCACGTATGTTTTGGAACTATTGGGGCTTACATAAACCACGTGACAGCCGTCGCGGCGACATCAAAGCGTGTCACAACTCTTTGAACAGACTGAGCTGTCTGGCCAATCAGACCAGAGCAGCTCGCGGAAAGGAGGGATTTAGAGAGATGGGAATCATTGAAAATGTGGTGATGTGCAAATGTATATTATGAGAAAATTAAACAGTTTTTTTTTTACTTTGATGCATGTAAACCTGTTGTAGGAGACTCCAAAACAACATTAGGAAACTTTAAAATAGCATAATAGGGGCACTTTAAAACTCAATGGGCTAAGAGGAGGCATGAGAGACGCGGACTCCAACTGTAACAGTGTTACTTACACACTTTTTAATGTCACATTTTGTAATATTTGTGTCATTTTATTTTTGTAATATCGATTATTTTCAAAAAAATTTGAGGAGACAATGCCTTCCTTGCCTCCTCTAAGAAAATGCACCTGTAATGTATTTTAGGCTATCTTAACACTTACACCTAGTCTCCAAATAATAATTATATGAATACATACTGTATATTTTTATTGATGTCTATTGCTTACGTGCACTTGCATTTTAACTTTAAATTCGTAAAGATATTTTCACATCTGAGCTGAACAAAAGACACTCTCTCAAATGAATGATGTCACTGTCTCTCAGCTGAAAGTCATGGGTCATGTCAATGTGTTTACTTTCACAAAATGTCCATTTGCTCTTTAAAGATGATCAGTATTAAAGCTGAAGTGTGTAATTCTGCACCACTAGTGTCACCAAATGAAATCTAATGTTTTCAAGCACATTTCTCATCTCCATTCGGAAGACAATCGACCAATGGCTTACTTTTTGTTGACGTTGAAAAATAAACAGGGTTACAAGAAAGTATTCGTACAATTATACACTTTCAAACCAGACATCTGATTCATAACCTGCTATGACAGGAGGGCGTATGTTCCCGGTCTAGGTCTAAACTGGATTATTTTAGATGATGAGCAGCGCGTTTAAAACATGATATCATCTCACGCACATACACTTTTTTTTGTCAAATCCGCTGCTATAACATCTGTAGATGCACCAATGCTACACAGATACCTGTTGGGACAGGCTGCAGTGGAATGTAAGGCCGTGCCTGCGTTACAGAGGGTGGGAGAGCGTGAAGTTTCACCTCGTGCCGTAACTGTGGCCTGATGTCGCCGAGCTACAAGCGTGCTATCGTTCACGCCATCTCTCATCTCACTCTCTTCCTCCGAGTCCTCCTGGAACGCAGGATTCACGGCGCCTTCCATCAAGCCTCTTTCTGCTGAGGACAGAAAGACAGAGCGCATATGAAAATAAAAAAGAGAAGGTCAGAGTGGCACATTATTCCACAGCACATTTAATCACAAACGAAAAATCCCTCCCTCTTAAAATGACACAGAAACACAATGAGGTTAAAATTAAACCCAAATCACGAAGAGGAAGGGTGTGTATAAAAGAGGGAAAGAGAGAAAGACGAAGAAGATGAAGGAGAAGAAGAAGAAGAAGAAGAAATGATTAAAATAATTACAAATTGCGCCCTGACAAGCAAGAGCAAAATTTAGCCCAGAGCCATTTGTCTGTAATTAGTTAATTAATCCTTACACAAATTATGAGCAATAACTCATCACGCGGGACTCACCCATCAGAAATTCAGCCGACTTGGATTTCTTCTGCTCAGGTTGCTCCACAGCCTTCTGCTGCAACTTCTGGAGGGAAATTGTTAAATGAATAAATTAGCTGCAGAATGAAGATCATCATTTCTGATCCGCAACTAACGCAGTATTTTAAATATGGGACGACACGGAAATGTCATTTAATTTACAACGCCGCTAAAGGGGTCAAGCGCTAATTGAACAACAGAGTGGAAGAAACTGGAATCATAAATAGATAAGTTGACATGAATGCCTGATGAAGGTCACATTAAAATACTTACAATGTCCAACCCCCACCCTCACAAAAATCCCACCCCAACCCGAGAAAAACAACGTTTTCTCCTCCAAAAAAAAAAAGATGCATTTTTATGCACACTAAATGTTGGAGGTTTGCCGTGCATATGAATATGCAAATCATCATAAACACATTGCAAGCACCATAAAGGCTCAAACACACAAAGAAGAAAATAGGATGAGAGCCCTCACACCAAATTAAAAACATAAACCAGGTTTCTCACATTGCTTACCAGAAACTTGAATATTGAAACCTGAAACTTGAACATGTTATGCAGGAATATGAAAAAAGGCAGAACATTTCAAATTAAAGATGTGTACAGAAATATTTGTAGGGGGCAGTCTCTTAAATATATTGCTCATACTTTTACAAATTGTTTCTACAAGTCCAACATGTAATAAATGTAAACAACAAAACTACAATAACCAATAGCCGCGCACTGGAATAATGTCATGCATTGTTTGCATTTTTATACATGTTTTGCGGTTAAAATTGTGCTAAAAAGCCTAAACACCTGTCTAAAATGACAGGACCCTTTAAGAACATGGGTTCAATGTGTTCAACTTTACTTTTTATCCAGAGCAATAACAGTGGAAATGTTCAATAGGTTCTTTGTATTCAAGTTTCATACAATTGACTTTAAAAATAAACCAACCATAAGAAATAATCACTGGAGTGATTAAAAATCATGGCAATTTGCCCCATTAGTTATTATAAATTATAAAAATAATAGTCTTGTTTTATTCTTTATTGAATTAGTTTTTTTTTTTTTTTTCATGAAATCCGAGATCTGTGACTGCAGTACTTAAATCTAAAATATGTAAATGAGCTCTCAATGGCTCAGATTACAGCGATAAACACGGCAAAACATATGAACAGAGCGTACAAATAATCAAAACATAAAACATCATCTTAAAGACAGCAGTTTAAGTGGGAAATGTTTTTCATCTTACATGACAGAGCAATTAAAGTTGAGCAGGACACACTCCAATCTGGAGCAGAGTTTAGAAATCTGCTTTAACATCCAACAAGCCCTAAAGCCACACATTCATTTGCACTGCCGAGATTAATGCTAATCTAATTGTAACTTATTTAAAAACCATTTGCTTTTTCCCCTACTGTCTTCAAATCAATTTCTCTACAGGAAGATGGTGAGGCTGACCAGATATTTTAAATGTGTCAATTAAGTATCTTTGTATCCTCCATTTTTTATGTATAGTCATTCTAGCATGACTGAAACTTTATTGTTGGAATATATATATATTTTTTTTAGGTTTTGGTGCATGTCCCGCAAGGAAATTTACAAGTGATAATTGGGCCACCACTTGAGAAATAAGCAAATAATGATTTTGCCAAAAGCAGAATGACACATAATTATCCTCACCAATTCAACATTTCATATTATCCGTCCAGCGCTCCCTTACACTGGTGGATTTCAATTATCTCCCAGAAACAAATCTCTTTAATTACTTTCTGAAGTTGTCACACCAGCATTGTCGTATTCCTCTATTTTCCCCTGATGAATTTTTGCACATGTACATATGAACATCCATGACTTTGCATGCATTATAAACCACATTTAGTGTTATAGCTTGACTAACACAATTAATAAAGCTTCTTCGAAAATATCTTGTTTTAATCTGCCCTGTTTGGTGCAATACTGCAACCACCAGAGACAAACACTGCAACTTTGTTTTAGAAATTATTGTAATAATTATTATTATATGCCATTTATGTTTTATTATACTTTATCAAAATGTCCTGAGAAAAGCCCCCAAATGCATATGATTAAAATACATTATTATGATAGATGAGTAAATCATTTAGTAGTAGCTTTATAAATTTCTACACTGTTCTTAATATCACTGACTGTAAACCTGATACTGGACAACCTACAGCAATCCGTTCAATTTAGTGCCATTTAAACCGGACATGTTCTTTTTTTTTTATTCTGATATATTTATTTATGAATGTAATGAATTTTGACCTGCTTGATTGAACAATATTTTAAAATTGATCCAATATTATCACTTGAAATAATAACGATCAAAGATTTATGCTAAGATAAATACTGCATTTTTACTTTAATTTCGCCAAACAATGCGTTTAAAAAATACATTGTACAAATTATACACAAATAGAAAAGTATTTACAAGAAGTCTGTTTCTCTCAAATGTAATGTGTGCCAGCAAACATATGTTGTTAGCCAAGAGCGTTTGGTCATTTTTGCTAAGACACTCATTTGGAATAAAGCATGTATATTTCAGGGAATATTCAGTTGTTCTCAACTCATCTCTCTGTTCGTATGTAAACAGAAACATGCTCTGGGATCAGCAATCTTCTGTTTAACATCAAAATGAATCAACCTTACTGTGAAAAAACAAGGTAATGATCATTATTCATCAGCGGGGCCCTGTGCCAAACTCTGTCACCAAACACTGAGCAACTGCCACATTCTTTTAATATCATAAATACTTAACAAATATACATGGCCAGTGCATCAGTAATTCAGCGTCGGGCTGGTATAAGATGCCAAGTAATCCTGCTGATATCTGCCTTAAACACACTATACAACAAGAACGGGGTGGGGGTGGGGGGGGTTGGGGGGGGGGGGGTTACGGCCCCACTGACATCCAGAGGCATCCAGTCTGCTGTTAGAAATGAAAATTCTGCCTTTTCTTTCAATGAACACTAACAAGATGTCACTATATGCTGCGCACTGGACAAAGAAGAGCAAGAAATCCTCTAATGGATGACAAGGGAAATGCATGAGCTTTATAAGAGAATGTGATTGTTGTCGAAAGGAATTGGGAACACGGATGCCTTCTCCAGCCTGGGATCCGTTCGGCTGGGCGTAAGGCTGGTGGGCATAGACCAGTTCCAGAGTGAATTTTGCATACTGTACGGATCATTGCCCAGTTCAGAGCAGTCACATTGAATCTGCCTTCAACCAATTGTGCTTCATGAAACCGTCAACCCTCATTTACGTCTGACTGTTTTCTTCTGCTGGCTGCGGTAAACAAGCCCTACGACAATCTCTCTCTCGCCCTGTTGATGTGCTGACAGCCTCTGTCCTCTATGTTACAGCTTTAACCTTAAGCTTAAACACACACACTTACATGCACAAACCCAAAATCCAGGACTATAAAGCATCTACATTCCAAGAATGGATCTTAATTTTAATGAGCTTATAAAAAGATGCACACTAACATGAGTACTCTGTAACTCATCTCTCATAAACAGTGACTTCTCATCTCATAAACTGTTGAGCCAGTTCTGTACAAAGTAGCTATTTTCTTTCTGTCCGCTGTAAACAGAAAATAAAGAATAAGGTGTCCATAATAACCTACAATTTTAGTCAAAACCTGTGATTCTTTTATGGTTAGCATTGAACATTTGGGCTGTTACCTCTATTTTTCTGCATTTACAATAATCTGTAACAGTGAATAATAAAGAAATAAGCCATGAGAGGCTGTTACAGTGCTAAAGTGTACACTTGTAAAGTGTAAGTGGTGTTCTTAGGCACTCCAGAGCATGGTAAAATCACTGTAACACTGCCTCGAATGGGTTACTGGCGGCTACAGCAATATCATAATAGTCACAGATGTTTAATTTATATTTAATAATATTAATCATTGGAATAAACCATTCATCTGCCAAGTAGCTCATTAGGCTAAATGAAAGCTGTTTACTGTTGCCACGTAATGTAGCAATTTGCATTAATATAAGATGTGCAGTCACAGATGTGATTATAGTGATTTTACAAGCTTTAAAGCCACTTCATCCAATGAGAATTCAGAACTGTAACTATCAATAATCAGCTTTATAATACTACACAGAAATGGTACATGCCTGCATCCTTCGATGACACACATATATGTGTGACTATATTTCACAAACCCTGCAATAAGATCTGGATATTTTAAATTCATATTGAAACAAGGACTGATGAAAGTGCTAGCTCGCTTTGTACACAGACCCTCACTGCAGCTCTATCCTCATGTATTTTTAGAGCACGCTTTTTCACAAAATACTAATTGTTATTAAACTAATAGCTTTATGTCGAACAACAACCATGTCAGTTGGTGAAAACAGGAAAACATAATTAGAATTCAGACTTAATTAATCTACGCTGGCCCCTTTAAGTGAATTAGCCAATTATTTATGCATGTGTGCCCCTTTGATGCTAACTGATTAAGAGGGAAAAAAAGAACCTTGAAAAATTACGGAACTTTCTTTGTCGTTTTAAAAATGCCACTAAAAACTAAGGGGGGGAAATAATTTTGCAAACTTTTGTGTTATATACACACACACTCAAAGTCTGGCCATTATTTCACAATCAATATTTCAAACAGTTCATTGTTGTCACAAGAGCTCATCACATTTCATGTGAATGGCATCCAGTTATTCTTTTACATTTTATGCAAAAATGGCAGCCTAACCAATAAATTACAAAAAGTGAACATAGCGTCTATAATTATTTCCGGTTCATTTGTTACATTGAAGGTCAAGCTAAGTGCACTGTATTGTGTACAGTATGTCTGTACAATGTGTTCTGATATTGTACATTTCAGGGAAGGGCTGTAACCAAAGATTATTTTGATAATAGATAAATCTAACAATTGTTAGAACGATTAATTGACTAATCGTCAATTGTTTGCCCAATTAATCAGTAGGCTTTGATCAATTATTCAGCTTTTGCAATTAGTTAAAATATTGAGTTATACCTATTTTAACTGATAAATAAAACAAAATGTTTTATGAAGCTTACAGTGATAAAGTGTCCATCGAATGCACACTTCAGAATCTCACTAGAAGTAGGTCATCTGGGTACTTTTTGCCTACTCTTTCATGAGTACTGTGAATTCGGACAAACTTATTTTGTCACATACGTTTTATACTATATAATAGAGAAGTATGAGTATGAAGTAACATGAAGTATGTTTCAGATGCTACAGTGTTGTCACATGACAAACATTGAACATTAAATCAGCACAGCTGTCTTTGTTTTTACCTTACAAATAAATGTGCAAACCATTCTTTTTTTGTGTGCAAACCTACCTTTTGACTGCTTTCATATAATCCTCCGGTCTTAATATAACCCATACAAATTCTGTTTGTTGGTGTAAGGTCAAGTGATTCTGTGAAATTTAATCAAGTTTTTCACTAAAAAATCAGTTGATTGGATTTTATTTTGCTAAACAAAAATGTACACTGAAAAAATATTAACATAAACATGTGGTAACGTAAATTAAATGGTTTGGCTCAAATCAAAAATAGAATAATCATGGTCGAATCAAAATGACTATATTAAGCTAATTTTAATTTTCAGATAAACATATATCTCCTTACAAGAACACCTACCACCTTTTACTGTGTAGAATACAATTATATGTAACAAATAACTCATTATAGCTGGGTTTTCCAAAATAGCACAAATAATTATCTTAAGATTTTTGGTAGATTATGCCCTACATATTAGGCAAATGGGATATATTTTGTCACCATACAAAAAGTATTGATATGCTCATTTATATTTATATAATATTTCATGACTGTCTCAACCCGGCCAGCATCCTACTATGGAAGTCAATGGTGCCGTCAACAGTATGTCTTGGCGAGCATCAACTGAAGCAATTGAACTCGGGTTCGGACCGGGCAATCGATCCAAGTGTGTAAGCACTAAATATAGGACATCTGGGTATTCCATGCAGAAAATGTGCATGCTGTGAACACTATACAGTACATACTATATATTGCAGAAATAGTAAAAGTTGTATGTTAGTATGCACCTACTTTAAATGTAAGCAATACAATACAGATTAAGAAGGAAAAGTATAATAAACATGTCAATATGTACTGTTTTGTGTGTAAAACCAAGATAGGCAGTCCAGCCCAGCTGAATGAGGGGCCAGGTCAGGATCATGAGAACTCATAGGGATTTTAAATAGGCTTTTTGTTCAGCTACTTGAGAATTCCTCAGCTTTCTGTTATGCCGTTTCCTTCACTCAATTCCCAGCTGACCTCTCACAGGCCATTGCAGCAAATGTTAAATGTGAATGGTAAGTCTGCCTTTGACTTAATAGAAAACTGAAAGCTAAAGGCTCTGACCCCGTATTGAAAGCATACTCACATCCATCGCCACAGAGAGTATGTTTTACTGCTCCTTGTGTGTTGACCTTTGACCTTTACCTGCAGAAACAGAATTACAGGTTATTAGTGTCATTTGTCTCCGTGTGTTTATCAAGTACGTACAAGCATGTGTCTGTGTTTTAAATTGTGTCAATTCATGAAATTTTGAAGATAAAATGTAATAACTTGCCTTTGGAGCAAATGCTGCGTTTTCTTTACATCTTACGTTTGAAGATCATATACATATTGTAGAGGTTAAACATTTGGTTTTCTGTGATTTACTGAACATACTGGTGTAAATTCTGCTTGAATTAATTTGTAGCACTTTTTAAAGGTGCAATAGGTGATGTAGGAAATGCTAACTTTAGCCTCCTAGTATTGAAACCCTCCCTGCAAATCGCCGTCCAAAGCCACACCTCCTCCAAAACACATGAACGAGCAGCACAGACCAGAAGCGAGACGACCAGTCTATAGAGACATATACTGTAAGAAAAATGTGTTTATTATCAAAGGTAACAAATTATTTCCCCTTATTGTTTAAGTCCTGTTTATTCATTTCTATCAGATACGGCCTGTTTAGTATTTCTATCTGCTCTCTCCATGGTAATTCACATGGCCTGCACAAGTTTTTGCAGAAATAGCAAAACAAACCCCAGGCAAAATGTGAAAGATTATCCCATACTATGCGGGTTACTGTGAAACACTATACTTTTTCACACTAAACGCTGCTCCACCGGGTGCGATTGTAAAACATGTTAAGCTATTGAATCTGCACTTTGTATATATGGGGAGAAGTGTGTGTAGTAACAAGTGAGTCGGTGTTTTGGTAATTGTTTCAAATTACATTGTGTGCAATAACAGAGGAAAAGCTATCCGCCACCTCTCCTGCAAAGGCGAACGTAAAGAGCACAGGATATCCCTCTGAATCACACCTCAGACACGCCAGCTCACTCAAATAAATAGGCAGGAACAGAGGAATGCCTTCCGTTCACTCGCTCTCTCCTGCCGAATCGCTGTCTGTGTGCTTCAATTCATTCTGTAAGTCAGCTCAGCGCTCACAGCACCCATAATTCTCTCTGATGAAGCACTGGGTCTCTGCGGTTTCTCCACATGTGCATCTTATTGGATTACGGATGGGTTTTCAGACCAGTGTTTCTCATTTGCTGATTTGTTTTTTCAGTAACTAATAAGTTAGGGAGGATGAATATTTTATAGGGGCCATAAAATGCAATACAGCAAAAAGGCCAGACAATTGCGAGTAAAAGCTGCTATTTTCTATAAGCCAAATGTTGTTATGAAAATGACATGCATGCCAGCAGGTTTTCAACCACACAAACGCCTGCTGACTCACTGCTGCTCTGCTCCAAAACAGTTTGTGAAGCAATAAAGTCACAGACTGCAACATATCAAATGATCATCAGTGAGTATATTTAAGCAATCAGGTACAATAGGCCGTGTTGTATTAGAATAAAGTCATGGCTAAAGGCCTTCGGAGTGATGCACAGCAGTGTTGCGACGTGTTAGCTAACCTTGCGAGTCGCAACAAACTTACTTTAGTAACCTTGCACCATGACCAAATAAGCCTGATCATTTAAACCATTTTCTAAATTGTAACTTTTTAATACAGAGCCTTTTAATATGGACTTCGGGCTAACAAAACAACAGATGTCTGGTTTTATAATTTTAGTTCAGTGTGCAATGGTCCGAGGTTCAAATCCCAATCTAATAATTTGTTTGTAACTAAACTTGACAGCCAGTGATGATCACTGATCTCCATCCACTTTCATGGATTACAAATGAATTTTCAGTCCGCTTTTTACACATAAAGAGAATATTGCACTATATATCTTCATTTGGAAGAGTGCTTTATAATTTAGAGAATGTTCTCTGTAATCCTAGAAAAACGCATCTCACAGAGATTTTCTGGCCTTGAGCTAATAGTCTGCAAAAAGTATTTACGTGGATTTATAATAAATATATATTTAAATGCTTAAAGTATTAGGTCATATTGGATTGAAAAAAATAAGCTTTTGTAGTTTGGAAGGGGACTCGCTTCTACACCAAGCTGGCTTCTTTTTTTTTTTCACAAGGGTTAATTATACCGAATGGCAACGACTGCTGCACTAATATTCTATAATTGTGCAAATAACCTTTTGTTACGCAGCTCTTTAAAACAATAATTTCTGATTGGCTAAACGCGACAATTTCCAGTCCAATATTTACAGTATCATGCCTAGAAATTTAATAGAAAAGGGATGGAAAGAAGGCATGGCAGCTTTACAATATAATAATATTAAAAAAAAAAAAAAAATTAAGCAAATTCACTTCACATGTGCTAAGTGCTTTCTGAAGTAATTGAGTGAAAGTAATCTAAGTGAAAGACATTCGTCACAAAAAAAATACCAAAAAATTAAAAGCACTATGGTGAGTGATTATTGTACCATTAGTATACTTTATTTGTGTGCTGAAAGTAAAAGTGATGCATTTTTAAATTGTTTATTTTTGCAAAAGAGATGCTTTTGAAATGCATGATAATACAAGTTGTAACGGTAATGTATCTCAGCTGACAACTTGTGATCAGTTCACCAAAAACAGGTGGAAACAGGCTTTCTCTCTCGCTCGCTTGATTTCCGGGATATTGTATATAATTCGTGGGTGTCAGGGAGCCGCTATCAATATGTGGGAGACACCTGGACCTTCCGGGTGAGGTGGGATGTCTGCATTATGTTTCTTTCTTTGTTAAAAATGAACAAAATGCATCAATACATCAATCCTTCTTTCAAAACATGTTTTTGTCTTACCCTGATTCACTTTGGTAACACTATTGTAAGTGTTTAGATTTTAGTTTACATAAAATAGAAATAGAGAAATGTTGCTCTGGCTACTTCGATGTGTGTATGGTGTGAGAATGGCATATGTTAATTGTCGCAATGAGCGAGAAAGGTTGACAATGGAGCACACTCTTGACCTGTAAAAAAAAAAAACAGAGAGTCTGCTGGCAAAAAGGTAACGTGACAGAGCTTGTAATAAAACGAGAATCAACATTGGCTTGGCTTTTCAGATATAGCGATGCTTTTGTTCAATTTAAGTAGCATTTAAGTAGCTTTTATAAACATTTAAGTAGCTTTTATAAACGTGCCTTAAAAAAAAAAAGCCTTGCCTTGAGACAAAACAGTGGCACTAACATAATTTAAAATGTGTCAGTGCAAGTTGCTTTCAGTTAAGACAGCTCAAACATGGATTTTAGTCTGGGACTAGGCCCAGCAAGCAATTTTGCATTTAAAAGATGTCTAATGGCCATCCAAAAACAGCCCTGATGTCTAGGCTAAAACAAGGCAAAATTTGGGTTGTCAATGAAAATTTAATAGATGTCTAAACGTAGCCCAAGAATAGAGTCATCTAGAACATGAACTTGTCAAAGAAAGGAAACCAAACACCTTGTGATCACTGTTGACTTTGTTTACATGATGGAATATCATACATCTTGCTAGTTTATTTTAGCATAAAACGACATGAGTTAGAAGTGGGCTACTCGCTAGAAGTGGGCTACTCATAACGGGACTTTATTGGGTCTATAGTTAACCTAGACGGTGAAATGACGACAATTGCTTGCTGCGGGCTTAAGACTTATCTGTGAAACCGGGCATCAGAGTTTTGGGGTAAGTTTGACATCTATTTAAGTAAATTTAATTAGTGAGAGGTAGGTAGGCAATTTGTTTTATAAACACTTTTTGTTATACTGGTATAAGCTCTCTTCACATCCTGATAGCAATCGATAATAGAAGTTTTCTAGATATTAAAACGTGTACATTAGAGGTCTTCAGGTCCTTCAAACCCGAGGTCCGACCCGAGACCTGAGCGGGTTCGGGTCCAAAACTTCGACGAGTGCCTCGGACACGGGTCGGGTTCCATTGAAAATAAAATCAGGTTGGATCGGACTTGGGTCTAATTTTATCTGGTCTGTCTCGGGTCGTTTTTTTATTTTTTTATTATTAATAATTTATGCACGTCGGGTTAGGGTAAGAAGTGATTCAGGTCGGGTACAGATTTTAGGGAACCGTAATTAGAAGATGACAACATGTGACGTTCTACCCGGAGCACGTCCTCAGACTCAGATTCATGTATTTCTCTGGCAACACTATCAATGCCAAAATTATCTGCAGCAGTCAGGTGGTACAGCTAGAGCTCTGAAATGTTTTTACGTTCATTATTACTGTAATTTTATGTGCTTTGAGGCACAAGGTTATTTAACGCCATCTCTCATCTTGTAACGCTTTGCAGACGCTGTTGTGTGTGTTGCGCTCATGTGTTTTGAATGAGGCGTGGCTTTGGACAGCTCTCTGAATAGAGGGTAGGTTATTATGCTTTAAGTGCTTTAGCTTTAAGTGAATTAATGTAAAATTTTGTTGCACATTTTTTTAAGGTAGGCTTAATATATATATATATATATAGTATATATCCCAACAAATCTATTCATATCATAGAGATTTTTTGTTTGCATGAAGAAAGTGTCACATATTAGAAAACAGCTAAATGTTATGGAAAGAACTGTGATCCTGTTTGAACCTGTCTACAGTACAGTATTATAATGTCTACAATGCAATAGAGTTTTTTTTTATAAGTTCTGTTACATGAATAATCAATAGACTCTAAAAAACAATAAAACGGGGAGCAATGGATGACAAAGAAGGATTTGTTGTAGACAAAAACAACATCTCAAAATATGGCTTATATGTTGAGACATTATTAGGATTAATAACACACACACACACACAAACGCTTACCTCAGTTAGGTATGAAACACTGGAATATCATTATGAGATGTTAATGTGCTGTTATGGTGTTAATAAAACAGCACATTCAGTCGGTTTTCTGTTTTTGCTTGCAGTTGTTCAAAAGTAATACACAGTTGATTAAACACATTTAAGGTTATACTGACATGCATTACTGTTGCCTGTAAAGTTATCGTGCAAAGCGTCCGTCACTATGGTGACAGTGACGTATACTGGGTTTCACTAAATTATGAGGGACACAACGGTGAAGGCTTACCTCATGCATATTAATTAGG